GCGAACGATTAGCTAGCCAACAGGATGCGCTCGTTCTATATTGAAACGCTCCTTTGTCAAGTTTCATGATCGCCCCATTGCATGAGCAAGTGCTGCCTTGCGCAACCATGACGACTGCCTAAGAACCATCGAGATAATCGTAGAACCTTCTGATGCGATTACGCGCCCAACACAAGCATTAAAGATTCTTCTAGAGCTTCCATGCCCGCAGGCGACAGCGCAGGAATTCTCGACGGCACCTGTATAAATGACGACGCGCATCACCTCTTGTAAGTTGATCGATGACTGACGCTCTTTTCACCCTTGTCAGCGCCAGTGTGTATCACTGTAATATGACTTTCTATTTACTAGCGTCGGGTTCACCCAGACGAACAGTCATCTTGGACACATCGACTACTGCCTTCGTCAACATCACGACCACGTGACAGTATCTTGAACTTAAACTGGCACGTTCAGGAGGCCTGAGCATGAATGAGTAATTTTTTTTTTTTGCTCAGACACTGCTGTGTCACGAAAGCCACAAAACAAAACAAAACATGAAATCTTTTCACCTTGAGCGATTCCCTGCATTATTGACTCATGCATTCAGATCGCTAACAAGCCTTGCAGTTTGTTCGGCGTCCGCTCTATGGTATATCTCGGTTTCCATGGGTAGTACTTTCTGAAACTGGCCCTCTAGATCTGCTAACCCTTATCTTGAGCTGGCGAGTGCACCACTCGTAGCCATGCATTGGCTCTTAAGGTCCTGCATGTCGGCTGCTTGGGCTGGCCAGCGGAGTTTTTTTTTTTTCTTTTTAGTTCAGCAAGAACTTCAGCGGTGTCAGGACGAGGGTTCGTTTCAATAATACTGACTGATCAGTATATACTAGAAACGCTGATTGATATGCGGGGTTTAACGTCCCAAAACTACCATATATGATTATAAGAGACGCCGTAGTGGAGGGCGCCGTAAACTTCAACCACCTGGGGTTCTTTAACGTGCACCCAAATCTGAGCACGTACACGGGCCTACAACGTTTCCGCCTCCTATACTAGAAACACTAATACTAATGTTACACAGGCAATGCAAGCGCGGTTATGACCAACCACGGTTGACCACGTTGAACCGCGGTTAGCGCCAACCACGGTTCGCCGATGTTACACAGCGCGAAAGCATCCTCGGTTAAGGTGGCTCACGCCATCTGGCGTAGAACAATCAACAGAGCCACTTCCTTGCGTATATATGCTCCGAATATATTCAGCAGCAACCAGGCAAAAATGTCATATGTGCCCCCTAGTATATTCATGTACTTACCGGTTCTTCTTGTTCAGATTGTCTATCTTCTTCCGGACTTGCTTTGGCGCGGATTGCTCTGCGTCAGGCTGAAGTTCGGCGTTCAACTCGGCTGTAATTGCCGCGTACACCTTTGCACTGCGTGACGTGCTCCGCATAACACTCAAATGATCTTCCCACATCCTTATCAGGCTTTACGCGAGGTTCGTGCCGTCTAGCTCGTCCCTTTTTTCACGCGCGCTCACCGGCATGCACTCATCGGCGGTGAGCGCCGCAATTTTCTGGGTTATCTGCCTAACTGACGTTGCAGAACTCGATCGGTTTCTTAAAACCACGGTTAGCGGCATAACCACGGTTTCGTGTGCCGTGTAACATCAGTGGTTAACCGCGGTTAACGTAACCACGGTTAGCGCAGCCGGGGTTTAGACTGCCTGTGTAACAATTAAGGGGACAAGACACATACAGGCTATATCAGTCACAATTCGGGCTCGGAAGCTGCCCCAATATGTAATTGCTAGTTCTCATAGTCTAAATGCAGTTTGGTTTACGTACCTGCATGATGAGCAGAAGTGGCTTACTGGTGTGTGTGTTGTGACACAGCTGTAAAGCCCGCAAGGTGCGGGTGATAGTCGTCGTTATTTTATAGCTGGCTCTACAATGGCAGTCGATGGCAGCAGGTCTCCCGACACTTCGTCAAGCATCCAATTTTCAGGAGGTAGCGCAGTTGAACAGATAGTACGACTGTCGACGCGCATGCGGCAATATAGACGTCACGTTAGTCCCGATGCGCATATCTGGCGGTTCCTCGAGGACGATTACTGATATCATTACCGCAGGCCGTAGCGCGTGCGTGTCAGCATAAATGAAAACCCACATGCTGAGCAGAAGCATGTTACGGGTGTGTGTTGGAGTACAGCCACCAAGCCCAGGAATAGAACCTTGACCGCCTTGTCGGGCAGATTCGCCAACAAGTTGTGCATCGAGCAAGCTTCTTTCGCCGGGCCTTATCGGCTTACTCCTTGTCACGGCAGTTGAAATACGTGTCTGCAGCAAGTTCCGGTATGAAGCACCGGTGGAAAGCTAGCGTCAGCAAACAGTCGAGAGTGAGGCACGAGCAGACGTGGACGTGGGGCGCAGGGAGAGGGAACGGCGAGAGAAGGAGCGGCGAAGCACTCCACCTACCTTCTCCTACACATACCACATGCTCCGGTTGCAAGGGGCGAGGATAAGTTGTGCGCCCGCAGCTGTTGCTATGGGAGAGGGCAGTGTAGGAATCCCGACGGTCGCCCGACGTAGCCCGACTAAGAAGTGCATTCGCGTTTAAAGGGGCTCTAAAAGGCCTCTCTTCTAGCTGTCTCTGTGATAGTACTGCAAGTTCAGCGCAGGCCTGGCTGATTTTTAACTAGTGAGCGTTAAGAACACTCGATATCGGCAACGTTGACCCGACGAATGCAAAGAATAAATGTCAGGGTCTCAGCAAAAATCGTACTTCATCATTCTGCATGGCAATCAAGTAGTCTACCACAGAATCACGCCAGGTCTCGGAACTGGCTTTAGAATATACCCTAATAATCATGAAACACCAAATGTTCTTGCAATGCTGGCTATGGAAATTTATAAACATTACAAATTGTCACACTCCTTTCTCAAGTTGTTTTTTATCAACCCGTTACATCAGTAAGGGTTCTGTTGTCCCGCCCACAGGCTCAACCAAACAAACAGTTTCGTTTGGAACATACAGACTACTGCCTAATGACTGCCTTAATGACCACGATGACTAATGCCTTAGTCATCGTGGCGACCACGTGAAAGTATGTACTCCTTTGATACAGCTGCAACGCGGGTTAACGCCAATAGTAGTTAACAGTCATCTGCTGTAGCTGATTTATGCAGCAGTGTCCAGGGCTACCATCCTCGCTAGCACAAGCACTACATAGCGGCTTGGCCTGCTGTTACAAATATCCATGTTGCTGCTGGCACCATTACGGAACTGTAAACAACTGGCTATATAAATCACGTGTGATAGTTCAACATATGTCTGCGACTACAACATTTGTACATATGTGTAGCGTCACTTTGTAACGTTTCACTGATAAAGAAGTTACAACACAGTCACCTTCCATTCGCATGCTTCACATGATGTTGTTTACCGAAGAACATGGGATCTGGTGAACTTTTTCAGAGGGGGGCAATGCCACATTCCTTCTTCAAGTTTTGTTATCGCCTCTTTACACTGTCAGTAATTCTCAGAGCAAACCACGCCTACAGTGTTCGAAAAGCTTCAGGACTGTAATAGATCATTTTGTTAAAATTACCAGCACTAGGCGAGCATTACAGATTATTCTAGAGTTCACATGGCCGCCAGCAATAACGCTGTAATATTCGCCGGCAAATGTATAAATGCCGAAGCGAAGGCTCCACTACGTGTCTGTAAGGCAACGCGCGAACCTACGCAGCAGTTGACTTTATTGGTGTTTTTGCAGCTGTTTTTGCAGATTAAATATGTATGATCGCTGTAATGAGTGAACATTTAAAGCAACGACTTGTTAAGCAATCCACATCTTTTGAGGCCTGGCACGGTTCTACACTTTTGCCACACAATATTACATGCATTAAGGAACCTCCTTCTGACATTATTATAGTGTCTATTTCCAAAGCATTTTCAAGCAACAGTTTCGCTCGGTATAAAACATCTGCTTGCCATGCAAATGGCCTGTATTCGATTCTCACTAAAACCGATGATTTCTATTACTTATTTCCATCTTTCCCAATTCTTCATTCACTGATAGGATGATAATCCTTATATAACAACCGACAAACCCAAAGGTGCAATTTTCGCAAAATGATCTCTTCAATGCTATCGATTCAAACCGGAGTCTTACTTGAACATTCCAGCTGGAAGTCCAGTGTTCTACCACCGAGCCATGCCGGTGTTTGAAACTACTTACCAAAAAGGCCCTATAGAGGCGTCACGCAGGGTGGGGTGTCGAGTTAAAAGACGTAATATCATACCTGAAGCGTATAATTGCAACAGGTGTTACCCTATGCAAACTACACAAAGAATCCTTGGTTTAAAGCTGCCCACACATTAGAAATGGCTCAGCTATAGTTCATCGTGGCCATCATCAGAAGGCACATAAACAAACGAGCAGCTATGTGCATGTGCGTGCAATGCCTGCAGACGAGTGCTGGTTATATAGCTATACTTCACAAAATAGTGAATTACGAAGCCGTGGGTGCATAGAAAGTGTAATTGAACTATTAGCCCTAGTAGCATTTTCAACGACTAACGTCATGTGCCCACCTTAACAGGGCTTCAAACGAGCACGATTGAGATGTTCATCGAGAATACAAGTGGCAGGGTTTTACGTCCAATAACAGCAGCAGGATTATTAGGATTATTAGGCTTATTTACCGTGCACTTCAATCGAAGTATACGCGGGCTACTAGCACACCGCCTCCATCTAAAATGCAGCCGCCACGATAGGGTTTCGATCTTGCAACCTTTAGGGTAGCAGTCGAGCATAGGGACCACTAGACCACAGGGCGGGTGTCCACAGAAAAGCAAAGCGTGACAAACTAATTAGAAGGTGATGTGAACAAAGCCGGATACTTTTGCTTTAGAGATAGGTGGCCAGCATCTCACAAAATGTGCAGCAACTGTGACAGCATCTCTCATCAGTGCCGTCTTAAGTGCTACAAATCGCCGACTTCGCAGCAACAGCTATGTAAAGCAGACATTTTATTTAGCATGAGGCTATGAAATTTCAAGAGAAAGTGAAATTGATGATAGCATTTACCCCTCATTTATTTTTCGGATCCTCATGTGTGCCATACACAATAAAAAAGTCAAACAGACAAAGCTCACCTCCTTCCTATGACTTCACAAAAGCAGCTTAACCTGACCGTGGTAAGCACTTACGATACAAAACAGGAGGTCCTTTTTCCATAACATCACCGTGAAAGCTATCAGTTTGACTTTCACAAAAAAACAAGAAACTTTAAAAAGAAACTGCAATAAAAATTTCATCAGTGTTAAATGTTTCTCAGCTGGTATCCCAAGCACAAGTACAACGAATAAGCATTGCCACTTTTTGCAAGTTTCGCAAAAGCACCTTGACCTGCACAAAGAAAGCATGTGCAACATTAACATAGAATAATTTTTAAATAGAACTGCCCGAACTTCCAAGCAGGGCTCCTGCAAACAAATGGAAGTAAAAAGAAACACAATTTCCTTGCTTTCTACAAAAACTGCAACATGAGAGAAACAGATGAAAGGAAGGCTCAGAGCCTAACCAGATTTTAGCAATGAGTTAGCCACTCTGCACTAAACGCACACTACCCAAAATCAAGAAAAATAAAAAAGGAAACACAAGAACGACATTTTAATACAGTTCGAAATTTTCATTCGTGTAGGGAGCCTAGTTTTGCATGACAAGTGTACGGAGGCAGCCTAGCATGAAATTTTGTTGAGAACACCAGTGAACATGTCCCTGAATGCCCGCTGAAGGCAGATATTTCTTTTATACTGACACTTAAAAAAAGAAAGACGCCGTTACTACTTGTCAGAAAGGACGAGTGGCTCCACAAAATGACCTCCAAGATCTGAGTGCATACTGTGGGATGGAAAGTGATCTCGAAGGCAGTGTGCTAGTATATCTTTCACGCCCACTAACTGCGAAGTATGTGTGTGCCCTGCTTAGATTCAACACAAGGGACACGAATCACTGGTTGTCAGAAGAGACGAGCGGCTTGCCGGCATGACCTCCCGAGATTCGTGTGCAGAATTCAGCGCGGTTATGAATATTGAAGGTGGTAGTACCTTTTCTTTTTCATGTATGCTAACCACATAGTGCACATCGTCTGTCTCGGTGCAATTCAAAGGGCACAGATTAGAAAATAAAACATTTATCAGTCGTGTTGGTTAGAAATAATGGAGTACCAGAGAGAACAAACACTACAAGAGAGAGAACACATACGCTCAAGTTATGTATCTGTCATGTCTCCTGTAGGGGTCTGCAGTGGTACAACCTACTCAGCAAAAAAAAAGGTACAGTGGAACCTGGTTCATACGTTTTTCAGCGGACCGGGAAAAAAAAAAGGAAACCGCTAGGAAAATGCTAGAATGAGGAAAGCTTCGAAATTGAATAAAAACAAGTCCGCATTGAATTCAAACAACTTATTTCAACAAGCTTTGAAAAAATCGAGCATGCTTGGCTGCTGCTTCTTAGATTCAATGGAGAGTACCACACACTTTTCGAAAGGCTGAGTTACTCTCAGCGTCGTTTTGAGGTGCGATGTACCTGCGGAGGAGGGCCAAGACTGCGACGGATTATGAAAAACTTTGATCGGCCAACTCCCCAGACTCTTGTGGCTCGTCATCGTCACCGGAGTCGCCGGCTTCACTTGCGACCGAGTCCGCAATGGTCTCTGTGATGCTCTGGCACTCTGACATCACGAGGGCAGCATCCATAGAGGTGACGTCGTCGTAGGTCACTCCTGAGGCACCCAGTGCATTCACAGCCTCGGTGAGTTCCTGTTTACAAGAGGCTGCTTCTGGTACGTTAGCTTCGTCCAGTCTGCCGTTCGTACGGAAGCCACACCTCGCGTAGCAGTGCTGCGCCGTTGACGCGTGCACTACAGTCCACACCGAAGCGACGTAGGGCATGGCGTTTAGAACGGAAATTGCCGTAGGCTGCTGTCGTGATCAATACGCGCAAGACAGTGCCTCACGATGCTCTTTCTGTAGAAATTCTTGAGGCTTTTGATGTCACCAGCCTCCAGCGGCTGTAAGTGGCTTGTGGTGTTCTGGGGAAAAACACAAGCTTGACGTTCCTTAGAAACGGAGGATCCCTCGGGTGGGCAGCACAGTTGTCCAGGAAAAGGATAAAACTCCTGTTCTGCACACCCATATTGTTATCAAAATAGCACAGAAACTCCTCAAACAGAGCACAGGTTATTCAAGCACGACGGTTGCTCCTGTAGTGGCATGACAGTAGGCAAATGTTCTTCAAGCACCGTGGATTCTACTTGTCTATCACCCACGGCTTCAGTTTATCCAAGCCATCCATGTTGCAGCACAGTAGTATTGTCAGTCGGTCTTTGCTCCATTTGCCTCCGTGGCAGGCTTAGCTCTTTAAGCTTAACAACTTGGATGGCTTCACTCGAAAAAAAAAAGGGCCTGTTTCATCAGCGTTATAAATGTTACGAGACTCATGACCCTCAATAACAGATGACAGTGTTGATTTCCAATCGTCCACTGTCTTGATACTGACACTTGCCGCTTCTCCACTTACAGTCTTGTAAGCGATACCGTGCCTCTTCCGGAAACGGTCGATCCATCCATTCGACGCAGCAAAGTCGATGATGCACAGTCTGTCAGATACCTCTATCGCCATATCGCGCAAAATGCTGCCGTCGAAGTTAATACCAGCGGCGCGGGCTTGCCTGAATAAAGTGAGAAGAGTCTCGTTGAGCGTCCCGTATTTGACGCCATGAGCCTACTTGGCCTTTCGGCCAAAGAGCGCCACCTTCCCCCTCAATTTTGGCATGCTTCATGATGATGCTGTTAAGCGTCGATGGTGGCAGACCAAGATCTTTAGCAATGTCGGCCTCTTTGTGCGCTGGCTGCTCGTCGACTGTGTGAAGCACGTCGAGCTTCTCTTCAAGAGAAAGCGCTTTCCGCTTGCGCGACGCCATCAGGGCTGATCAGAACACGACGATAACAGCAGTACACTCGCCATGCGAAGCCCAGCAGGCCTTCCTTTGTGTGCAGAGCCCGCAAGGGTCATGCAGTGAAGCCGGTGGCACGCAGACGACAACGATCATGATGGTGATAGCGCTATAGCTAATAGCTTTCTGACTTGACGACCACCTAGTGGCGGCCTCTTTAATTCACCTGTGGCTTCTTCCACACAGTAGCCAAGCGAAACCAAGACTGAAAAGTCAAATCAAAATGGTGGTGCCCAGAGTGGGTTCACGGGTTCGGGGTGCGCAGTTGCGACGCATCATACGGGAATGGGCCCACAACTATGAGGGTACAGCGAGGTTCCCAATACATAGGATTCTATGGGACTTTTGCTGGGACCGATGAAATACAACGTAACAGCCGGGAAAATGCAGCAGGGGGGGAACGTGACAGCAGTGTTCCACTGTACTGATAAAATTCATGTTACTTTAGCAAGATCCCTCCAGTAGTCATCGAGCACTAATTTATAACCAGCAAAGCTAGAGTGAAAGCTTTGTTGCAACTGGCTTCAAAGCCTAAAAGATTGTAGCAGCAGTATCTTTTGCATACTACAGGTGCCTTAGCAAGTACAACAGGCCATTAAAATGTGTGCTACTACTCAAACACTGAGCATGTAATTTCATTTCTTTAACGAAGTAAAATATAAGACATTGCATACACACCTAAACAAGTGCTTCTCACAAGATTATAGATAATTTAGAATGTCATACGTCAGAATAAAATTAGGTTAACATGGGAAAGGTCACTTTGAAAACACATCCCTGTTATCCTACAATTCGGTGCAAATAGTAACTAACTTACTTGAAATGTATACCTAGATTGACATTATTTTCTGCAATTCTGAATTGCGTATGAATAGGTTTAATAAATGTCCGAAAGCGAAGAAGCCTTTCAGCTCGAATATTTGAACGATTACCTTTGAAGCAAGAAAGAAATTAAGAAATACACTAAGGAGCATCAAGTACAAATAATGCTACGTAAGTGTTCTGCGTTATAACTCTATGAAAAGAAATAAGTCGAAGAATTTGTTCTTGCTTACATTGCTATCATGAATCAGTTACTAAAGGTAAACACTGTGCAAAAACAGATAACAAACCTGACACAGCAGTAGCATTTGAGCCTAACCGACTAGCTTGGTTCAATGAGCAACAATGAGCAGTTCAAACATCACAAACAGGCCTCGCAACTTCTGCGCGATTCAAAAATGGGTTATTCGAGCTAGTGCACACAATCACCCGAGGCTTAAAACAAAATGAATCAACATTTCGTATCTACGTAATGTAAAACCAATTCACTGCTGTTACAATACTGAATGCCAATATCTAATACTATCATTACATCACCACATCATGTGCCCACAATTGCTTGTGAAAGCAATAAAATATTTACATATAGAGCGAGCACGAATATGCCGTCTGTACATATACTGCACAACCAGACGAGGATCAAAGCATTCAGCAAAAAATCGCTCACATGTATCAACACGATAAGCAATGCAGTCGAAGCACCTAAAGACTTTAACACGAATTTGTCTCATCGCATGTCCAGGCCACAGTACATTCGTGTCACAGCGCTCGAAATTAACACGTGCTGTCACACACCATTACACACTACCCCATTTCGATAAGCCAAACATGGCGCACTATGTCATTTAACAAAAAGTCCTTTGAGATAAGTGCAGCTTGCAATTCGCTCGCTGGTTGATCGAACCGTTGCAGTGTCGGTTGCAGCGTGGTACGAGCTGGCAAATCACAAACAGCTGGTTCTTATTTTTTACAAGCGGAGCTCTAGTTCGTTGGTCCCAAAAGCACGAACAGATATTTCTCGAAATGTACTCGAGGTCGTGGTACGCTTCAGCTGAGGCCGACGTCCAGGGCCATCATAACGATAAAACCAACCACGGTCGTCCAGGACGCCAGCTGGCCATTGGAGCTGTACGCGAAAAAGGTTAGGAACGTGGCATCAGATATGTGAAAAAAGTATATTTTCCGAAGCCAGGGGAACTCACACTTTTACATTTTGGTCACTCGCTTTACTCCACAATAAAGAATAACAAAACATAAGACAACCATTTTGCAGATGAAGTGATTTCTCTGTTGATTTGCACACCGCCCTGAAGGAACACTTATCATGCCACCTATAGGTGCAGAAATGTGCGTTTTCTTAGCTTTCATTGACGAATAAATCCACGGAAAAGTGTCCTGAAGTATCAGATACACGAAAGCACCATGCCATGCACACAACATTGTGAAGGGACAGAAGTGCGATTTCAGAAACCAAGCACGCATCTTCTGAACATGATGTTGAGAGAAAACTCTGAATCTTCTTAAATGCATGATGCTTCAATACTAAACTTTCTGGCAAGAAGCATGCATCAGTGTGTGTGTGTCACATCATAACAAGGGACAAGCAGGCTTAAACTCGAAAATAATATCTCGGCTTTCACCCGCTAAAACCATGATATGATTATGAAGCATGCCATAATGGAGTGCTCTGTAAATTTTAAACATCTGGTGTTCCTTAAACCCTCCCCGACTGAAGATGATCTAAGTTCGTCAACGCGGATCGTATTCCTCCTACTGAAGATCAACTGGACTACAGACAGTGCAATACGGTGCGCTATTATGAGTGCTCCCTACAGCCTGTGCACTTGCTAATGTACATCTTCTTAGATCTGCAGTGAATTTTAGCAAACCATGGCCAGCTAAAGAATGATAATTGGAAGTAGGGAAGGTCAAATATTGGAGTGCTTCGGGTGGTTGCTGCATATTATGCTATTTCGATTCCTTTCGACATGACCATGTAATTTCTGGAATTATGAAGTATTTGAAGTTAATGAATATATATGTATATTTCTTGTTTATCGCATGTTAAACCCCTAAAAAGGTGCCTTATCTGCAGCATGAAACTGCTATGCCACAAGATCACCTGCACAAAAGAAATTCGCACTGCTACAAAGTTGGAATTCAAGGATAGATAGGTATATACTACCTGCACTTTAATTATTATTTTTTCTCTTGAAAAGTGTGTTGCATTGACTCATACACACTATGTAGGGCAAATTTTAATATGTGACGTATTTCACTGCTTGTAACTTGCAGCTTACTTCGAGTTAAATACTGCTTGTATTCAAAGTTGCTTCCACTTGCTCTGAACAGAAAAAGTGGCCTTAATACAAGCCTAAATCTCGTTCTTTCAATATCGTACATATTGTCACGGGGTCATGACGTGAACGAAGGGAGCAGATGGGATGGTCAGATGAAACTGTTTACTGGGGCAAACTTGCGGCCACGAGAAAGGAAAGTCAGATTACAGCAAGACACTGGCACTGATAGCATCAGCTGTCGACCAACTGACAATCAGTGAAGCACGTTGCCATTTATATACGTGCCGTCAAATATTCTGGCCTTTTCGCTAGCGGCCGCGTAGGTTCCAGAATAATCTGTAATGTTCGCGAAGTGGGCATAATTTTAACAAAACCATCTACAGTCGACGTCCGATTTCCCGGACTCTCAAGGGACCGCGAAAATGTCCGAGCAATTGGTCAGTCCAAAAAAACGAATGCACGTGAAGACGAATCTTTTTTGTAGGTATTTTTGGCTGACGTAGAGGGTAATGGCCGAAGTACAAGATTCTCATTGCAATTCAGCCAATGCATCGAAAAGAGCCATTTACAAAAAAAAAAAAAGATTAGACGTGGCCGGCGCCACTTCATAAGTAAGCATTTGGGTGCAAAGAAGTCGCTTTTTTTTTTTTTTTTGCACGGTGTTCCGCTTGCCTGCGATCATGCCTGCCTCAATTTCAGTCGTTGCCACTGCACACTGATGACAGTGTCATCAGTGCTTGCGTCAACTCCGAGCTCGTTGGCTGTGTAGGAGATGGCTCTCAGTTCTGGTGTCCAAGTCCTCGGAATCCTCCGTAACTTGACGAATGATTTCGTGATTGGTCAACTCCACACACACATAGCTCGAGGTCTTTGTCAGCGTCAGCGAAGCCCCCAAAGGTTATCCCAGCTGGAATCGACACGCCGGCAGCGCGCAAACCGTCAAAGGCAACACCCGCGGATTGCAGTTCGTCACACACACTGTCCACTTGGGGCAAGACGGCAGTCTCGGCGTCGAGTGTGGAGCCCACGTGGGGAGAACAGTTCCACAGAGTCTCTTGCGTAACCACCTTCCACGATTCCGCTAGCATGCCGACGGCAGACCTGAGGTCAACAGAGTAGCTTTTCCCATCGTAAGGCTACGAGGGGCCTTTGTGCACTTCGAAGGCGCGGCCAAAGACGAAAGAGCAGTCGGTGCCATCGCTGTAAACGGCGAAACCGCTCGACGAAAAGTGCAGCACGAAACAGCTAGGAACTCGGTGGATGCTAAAGGTCGGGAAACGTGATCACTGGAGATAGCACGCAGCAGCAAACGATCAACCGCAGGCACGACCACAGAGCTGACAAAACAACACGTGAACGAACACAGTGAGGTTTGGCTTGGCTAAGCCGCTCAGCTATGGCTTCGCCGACGAACCTCCTCACCCCACATCGGCGGCCGAGCAAGCACTCGATTTTTCTAGAAGGAAAGGGGCGTGGTCATACCGAGTTGAGTCATTCGCCGCGGAGGGCATCCCAACCGTCTTGCCCTCTCCCCAGCCTTCGCTGCGTATCGCGCCGACGAAATGACGAGAACCTTCTGGAATCTCACGTGGAAGGTATTTAATCGAGCAGCCGAGGTGAGAGATCAGGAGAAGAAAGAAGTTAGCGCCAGAGCGCGTAGGGATTCCACCGTGTAGCCGGCGAAGGTTTTGTCCGTAGGGACAAAGCAGGAGAAGAAGAGGATTTCCACCTGAGGGGTGAAGGCTCGAGCTACAGGCAAGAGCGTGTGTCTACCGCTATCGAGCGAAGACGCGTGGCAACAGCTGCGTGTGTGAAGCTGACGTGTTTCCGGCGAAGAAGTTTGAAGTTCGGAGAGTGGCCTAATGAAGGCGTGAGGTTTCCTGGAAGAGAAACTTCGGGGGCAGTGGAAGGACAACAACGCTGGACTTTGAGTGAGTGATTCTCGGAAGAGTATCATCCAGACTTTTGTTCCAAGCACTTTGGACTGGATAGGTTTTCTATCTCTTTAGTCTTTAAGTGTCTTGGTTGTTGAATGCGTGCGACTGCATTGCCTATCGTTCTCAGTGTCCGTTGTTTCGAGTGTGGCTGATTGTACTGTGTAGTACGTTGTTTGGTGGGAGACATATTGTATTCAACTATTGAGGAGTGTGCATACTTGTGTATTGTTTTTGATCTGCCATTACTGAGAATAGAATTCTGTTTTGTTTATCAACTCTCGGCTCTGACTTGTTCTTTGGGCCACAGCCGGCGTCCGCTGGCGCGCCAAAAAGGACCACTTCTAAATTGTCCACGCTTTCGTGGTGCGGTTCGGGGGGCCGATACTTCGGCCCTTGGAATTAGCCCGGCGATCACCGTCCCTAATTAACGGGACCCGTGACAATTAATCTGGCGTCCACGACAGGACCTTTTGGTGCACAATGTGTCCAAAGTAGTGAGAAAGAGCCTCGAGTTGTTGATAGTGCTATCGGAACGATTTTGTGTGTTGCTCTGTGTTCTCATTAACGAGTGCAGGGGAGTGTTCCGATAGACTGATTTAGGCAGATACTTTTTACACGCGGCAAGACTTTATTTGCGAGACACCATGGATCTCGAAAAGTTAGTTGCTCTTGGTGAGAAGATGGGTCTTTCTGGCGCCGAACTACGGAAATGGGTAAGCTGGAAGGAGAAAGAGGCGGTGTAGAGAGAGACGTTGGCAGCTGAGAGAGCCAAGGAAGAAAAAGCCGCTGAGTTAGAACGAGAGAGGTTGGCAGCTGAGAGGGCCAAGGAAGAAAAAGCAGCTGAGTTGGAGAGAGAGAGGTTGGCAGCTGAGAGAGCCAAAAAAGAAAAGGCAGCTGAGTTGGAACGAGAAAGGTTGGCAGCTGAGAGGGCCAAGGAAGAAAAAGCGGCTGAGTTGGAGAGAGAAAGGCTGGCCGCTAAAAGGGCGAAGGAAGAAAGAGAGCAACAATTGAAGTTGGAGAGAGAAAAGCTGGCAGCTGAAAGGGCGAAAGAAGAAAGAGAGGCAAAGGAGCGACAGCTGAAAGAAGAAAGAGAGCAGCAATTGAAGTTGGAGCTGGAGAGAGAAAAGTTGGCAGCCGAAAGGGCGAGAGAAGAAAGAGAGCAGCAATTGAAGTTTGAGCTGGAGGGAGAAAGACTGGTAGCTGAGAGGGCGAAAGAAGAAAGAGAGGAAAGAGAACGGCAGCGACAGCACGAGATAGAACTCGAGCGGCTCCGTTTGCAACAGCGAAGTGAAACTCCGGTCCAAGCTAGAGTTGAAAGCAGCGAACGGGAGGACCACGGCTTCCGCTTGAACCCAAGCAAGCTGCTCGTGGCGTTTGATGAAAGGAAGGACGACCTTGACGCGTACCTTCACAGATTTGAGACGATTGCGAGGAGCCAGAATTGGCCGGAACATCAATGGGCAACTGTTTTGAGTACTTGCTTGAGTGGTGAAGCGCTCAGTGTGTACGGTAGGCTGACGCCGACCGATGCAGCCAACTATGCAAAGGTGAAAACTGCTTTGCTGAAGCGATTTAGATTTACTGTGGAAGGATTCTGGGACCGATTTCGTACAGGAAAGCCAGCTGATGGTGAGACGGCTACGCAGTATGCCGCCCGACATTGCCATTATTTCGACAGATGGATTGAACTTTGAGGGACAGCGCAGGAGTACGATGAACTTAGAGAGCTCCTAATTAGAGAACAATTTCTTACTAGTTGCCACCCAAGCCTGTCGCTGTACTTGAAAGAGAGGAAAGCTAAGTCACTTGAGGACATGCTTGAATTAGCTGATCAATTCTAGGAAGCGCAAGGTGGCACTAATTTGGCCAAGGTCAAGAAGGATTGTCCC